CTGCAAAGACCCTATTGCCAAATAAGGTCACATTCAGAGGTTCCTGATGGATGTGAATTTTACAGGGGACTAAGAGGGCCCAGTATTCAACCCAATACAAATGATTGGTTATTGCATTGATTCTATAGATCAATTTGGGGAGCACTGACATCTTAATATTCATTGGAAGGACTGATGCTGAAGCTCCAATACTTTGGCCACCTGATGCAAAGAGCCAACTCATTAGAAAAGACCCTAATGCTGGGAAAGATTGAGGGCAGGAGGAGAAGGGGGTGACAGAGGATGAGATGGTTGGATAGCATCACAAACTCAATGGACATGAATTTGAGCAAGCTCCAGGAGATCATGAAGGACAGGGGAGCCTGCCGTGCTATAGTTCGTGGGTTTGCAGAGAGCTGACATGACTTAGGGAGTGACCAACAACAACAACATCTAAATAATATTGAATTGTCTGACCTATAAATACAGTATATGTATCTATCTGTATATTTTTATGAAGATCTCTATTTTTGCCATGATTTGTTATGTTTAGTGTACAGGCATTTCACATCATTTGTTGTGTTTATCCCTAAGTATTTCATGCTTTTAGTGCCACTGTAAATAGTATTTTAAAATTTTCAGTTTCTGGGTTTTTATATTGTTAAATATAAATATAACTGATTTTTATGTGTTGACACTAACATGCAAAGTGTTGCCTGCAATCTTGTTAAACTCAGTATTAGAGCCTTAGCCTTTTTGTAGAGTTCATTGGATTGTCTATATAGGCGATCATATCTTCTGTGAATAAAGATAGTATCAGTTCTTCCTTCATAATCTGCATGCTCTTTAATGTGAATTAGGTCAAATTGGGTCATAGTGTTACCTATATCTTCTATAACCTTATTTATTTTCTGTTTGTTCTACTATTGAAAGTGGACTATTGAAAGTTCCTCTGCAAAATTATGCATTTTTCTATTTCATTTTGTTGTTTTCTTGGCTCTTGCTTCATAAATTTTGAAACTATAATTGAATGCACAAATGGTTAGGAATCGGCTTCTTTTTATTTCAGGAAATGGTCTTCTTTATTCCTGATTATACTCTTTGATTTGAAATCTACTTTGTTTGTTGTTAAATGTAACTATTCCAGCTTTCTTTTTGTTAGGTTAGTGTGTTTATCTTTTTCTCTCCTTTTACTTTAATCTATTTGTGTGTACATATTTGAAGTTAGTTTCCTGTAGACAGTATCCAGTTGTCTTGATTCTTTAAATTCAGTCTGACAGTCTCTGTCTTTCATTATATTATTTAGAGCATTTTCATTCAAGGTTATTGTTCATATGGTGAAGTAAAATCTAGCACCTTGATCATTTTTTGTCCTGTTTTAGCCCTTCTGCTTCATTTATCTGCCTTATTTTGAATTATCATTTTTATTATTCTCTTATTTCTTTTGTTTATTAGCTATACTTAACTATTTTGTTATTTTAGTGGTTGCTTTAGGACATACATAAGTTGGAACAGTCTACCTTCAAACAGTAGTATACTATTTAGGGTATAGTATAAAAACCTCACAATAGTATATTCATATTTCTTCCTTTCTGATTTTTGTGCTATTTTGTCATCGAGTTTACTTTTTAATGTGAATTAATTTCACATTACTTTGTTATTATTTTTGTTTAAGCAATTACTTTTTAAGAAGATTTAAATAATAGCCAAAGTCATTATATACTTACCCACATACTCCTATTCCTGATCCTCTTCATTTCTTTATGTGGATCTGTATTTCTATCTGGTATCATTTCCTCTGCCTAAAAAATGTTCCTTCATGCTAATTCTAATGCAGATCTGATGGTGATAAATTCTTTCTGCTTTTGCATGCCTGAAGAAACTCTTCATCTCATTTCTGTGTTTTAAAAATATTTTCAAGAGGCACAAAATTCTAGCTTCTTCCTCTTAGTACTTCAAAAATATTGATTCACTATCTTTTTGCTTTCATTATTTCTGATGATAAATCTACTATTGCTTTTATGTCATTCCTTGTAAGTGACATGGCTTTTTTTCTGGCCACTTTTAAGAATTTCTCTTTAACACTAGTGTTGAGAAATTAGTTATGATGGGCTCAGATATACTCCATGTGTCTCTCATCCTCTTTGGCTGGCGGCTGCACAAAACTTGTACTTTTCATGAATGGCAGGAATCCAAAAAAACAAGTCAACCGTTCAAGCACATTTCAATCCTTTGCTTGCATTATGTTCACTAACATCCCTTGGCCAAAGCATGACACATGGTCTCCCCCAAGTGACAGGATAAGGGAGTAAACTCCATCTATCATGAGGTCAAGGCAAAGCTCAGCATAAGGATTATGCTCAAATTGTACATCTATATTGGAAGAAGTCCAGTACCTTAATTGTAAACTTAACAAGTCCCCAGCAAAAGCTGCTTTATGAAATATAGCACAGAAGATTATTATCATTGGTAGTGTTGGGTATCTTCCTTCACTGTGGTCTCCACACCTAATCTCCTTTCTTAGATGCTACATCCCAGGTCACCTCTTCCAGACTTTCAATGGTAAAACAGTAGTTGACATCAAGCTCCCAAAAAGCTTTAAGAATGTTGGGACCTCATCGGATCTACTCCAGGGGTGATGCAGGTGTAAGGAATGAGAAAAGAGTAATTCTCTTCTGTTATGTTAGGGGAAATTACATGTCACTGTGTTTTGACGTGTAGTGACAGCACTGAGTACTTCAGTGCTCTTTTTTAAAGGGATACTGCATAAACAGGCACCCTTTTTTCACTCTTTTTGTAGCTCTATTAAATTACTATCTGATATGAGTGTCTTAAGGGATACATCACAAGATGAAGGAAGCAAAACCAAGTAGAAATCAAGCCCAAAGTAGCCAGTTATACCTTTTGAAGGCAGCCAAACTGGTATAGTGGATATTTAATGGCAGTAATTTTACACAGATCGACATTGTTACTAAAAGCAGTTAGTAACAATATGGCTTCCATTTCCATTTTGAATATTTTCTAAATACTATGTTTAGTGTATTTCTTGTATTTGTTGTTCATGGTAGTCTTTCTAGGTGTTATTACTCTCATTTTGTGCATGAAGAAATGGAGGCTCAAAGAAGCTGAATTAACTGCCCAGTAAGAGTAGCAAGTGGCAAAGTTGGGGTGCAAACCCAGATTTATTTCAAAGTCAAAGCATATCTCAGTATAGTCTAATGTTTTTTTCTTAACCCTTGATCTCTAAATTCCAATTTGAGCTTCCTTAAGGGGGTCTGTTTGTCTCCTCGGGCACTGATGGGCATATTTGTGTAGCTCAATTTTTATGGAGACCTTGCAGATATCAGGGGTCCCTAAGATGTGGAAGCGGGTCTGTACAGCAGTCTGGAATAGCACTGGAGTCAAAGGGCAGTAGAAAGCCTGGTTCAGTCCGTTCAACTCATCCCTGAGTGGGAAAATAATGCCATCTGGCCCTTGACTTTTTTTAAGGATTAGCAGTGCCCAAAAAATGTGCTTTGGGGGAAGATAGTAAAGTAGTTCTTTAAAGACAACAAAGTGCATTAACGTGAGTTAATGTTCAGATGTATCAAGTTCATAGAGCAGTGCCTAGAGCATTCTAAGTGTAATGTATGTTTGCAAAATCATAAAAATATAATTTGTACCAATATACAATTGATGAAAAACAAAACTCCTGTAAATTTTTAATAGAGGCTGAGGGAATCAGTTGACAGTTTTGTTGTTGTAATTATTAAAGAAAGAAGGATCTCAGAAGAACATTATCCTTGTTAATTTTAAAAGTATATATGAAGAGTAATCATGCTTCTGAATAGATAACTCAAGACAATATGCAGGATGTATAAGCAGATTTCCTCCTACAGTGAGTATGGATATCCTAAAAAAAAATATTATCTGTAATGCCCTTAAGGTTTTCATACATTTCTAAATTTTTAAGTTTTATATCTATGATCAACATTAATTAAAACAACTCCTGTTTCTTAAATTTTTTTCTCCATACATCTTAATTCTTACATAATACTATATCCATTGTTGTGATCTTTCAATTTCTAGGCAACACATGGTCTATATTGAGGCTTATATCAAGTACCAAACACATGTAACTCAAATCATGTGAAAACTGACCTCAGTTCTCCCACTGTGGTATAGTTTATGAGGGATGACCATCCCTATGTAACCCAAGCCTGGGTTAGACCAACTTCAACCCATGCTATATCCTGATCTCACAATAAATGTGTATTGGTGGTATAGTGGTGAACATAGGTGCTTTCTATAATAAATGAATTAATGTTAGTGTTTAGTATTATATTTTTTTTGCTATTATTATAGCAGGACTTTCATTCTCTATTTTGCTTCCTTTCTTTCTAATCTAAGAATGTTATTGGTGCAGGAGCTCATTTTTCAGTGAATACTGGGGTATATATTTTCCTCTCTTTCATTCCCTCATGAATGCAGTTGAGACAAACAATATTAGGGATGAAGAATAGATCATATGATAACTGAATCCTGGGATGGGGGAGGGGCAAGTGGGATGAGGTCACTATAGATACTGACACCTTCCTTTTTAAAATCTTAGCTTCCCAGGGGGCATCACAGCAGTGAAATGACTGTAATGGTTCCAAGTCTTAGCTCATTTTATCTACTTGGTTCTCTGTAAATCTTGACTTGAGTTTTCTGAGCTGGCAGAGAAGGAGATTCCTTGAATTTTGGTGGCTTTAGGATACATTTTTCAAAAATTCTATTTGTTGCCTGAACTTGGAACTAAACAAAGAATAAGGATTGGAGCCTGGGCCATGTACCTGAACAACTTGGGTTATGCTTAGCCAGAGTTGGCTATTTCCCCTCTCATCATATAAAACTCTGGGAGCCCATGGATAAGCCAACTAAATGGTAAATTATCGAAGCATGCTTTGGGAATATCAGCTAAAATTAGAGGATTATGCATGGATTAGATCATGAAATCTGATCAGATTCAAGCTCATGCATATTTTATTTTATTTCAACAGAATGAAATCCCTGAGGTGAAGAAAGAAGAGACCTTGTTGGATTTGGACTTTGATCCTTTCAAGCCTGATGTGACCCCTGCAGGTTCTGCTGGAGTGACCCACTCACCCATGTCACAGGTATCAAGTGGATTTTTTGATGGTTGGGGCTGATAGTTTATAACCTTTAGTAAAGCTCAGTAAGGCGTTTCCCTGATCCCCTCTCCCTTTCACATGACTATTTCTTTTCAATTGACAAACATATCCTAATGGGAAGGAAGGGTAGAAAGAGAACTTGATCAATGTCAATTATTCTCAACCTCCCCTACTGTTAGCTTTCTTTACCCACAAGTTGGGATAACACATGTTCCAGTTTGCAGGAATCCTCCATCTCAGAGTTACCCATAGTTCCACATTTGTGCTAAGCAGTGTCCAGGCTTGGATGATACATTCTATGACTTCCCTAAGTAAGACTCTTCCTCTTGGCTTGGGGTTTAATCTTCTTACTATTTTCTCTACTGTTTTTCCTCATACTTGGCAGATTAAGTCTTTTGGCCATCACCGTGAGAGTTTGTCCAAACAGGAATCTTCTTCAGTCCTGATACTTCTGAACTTAATGCTGATACTGATGATGCCTATGTGGTCTTTGTTTTTAATTTATTTATTTTAATTGGAGTATTGCTTTACAGAGTTATGTTAGTTTCTGCTATACAGCAGTGTGAATCGCTATACATGTCCATACATCCCCTTCCTCCTAAGCCTCCCCTCCGTGCCCACCCCACACCCCACCAGTCTGGTCATCACAGAGCACCAGTCTGAGCTCCCTGTGCTATACAGTGGCTTCCCACTAGCTCGCTATTTCACATGTGATAGTGTATACATGTCAGTGCTTCTCTCAATTGGTCCCACCCGCTGATGTCTATGTGATCTTGATGATAATTTGATGCAGAGTTAGCCCTGCTTATCCATGCTTACCCATGTTCACAACTTCCCTCACTCTCAACATTCTTCCCATTTCAGTGGTTATTATGATCATATTGTCTATTAGAGGGATACTGGTAGTGGGTGCTGAAATGACCTGTGGGTAATTTCTCTGGAATATAGTTACTTTACAGTCATCTATGCTAATGGAAGGAAGTTAACTCAAAATATTTGCTACCCAGAAATTGTTTATGTCAGTATTTTTGATGTGATTGGGGCCTCACATTTGAGTCTGGGAAAATCCAAGGATGCTAGAATATAATTCAGATTAATTAATCCAAGTGTAGTGCAGAACTCAGCTTAGATATTGAGACCCAGCTCAACTTCTTGGTCTTGAGGCCTACTTGATACCTTATGGTAAACCACTGGGACACAGACAGCTAACTGTGACCTCCAGTAAATAAGTCTCACTAATCCACACTTTGTTCAGAATGTGATTGGATTTATACAAGCCTCCATGTTGTGATATTGAAACAATAAAAATCTGAGATGTCAATAAATCAGGCGATTGAGTAGATTAGATGCTAGTCTGAAAGGTATTTAGCCAAAAAAAAAAAAAATGGGTTTCTTAGATGAATGTTTCAGGAGGTTTTATTAAAATTCCCTTTTAGGATTCATGACATGCCTTAGAATATTCAGTTTAGTTCAGTTGCTCAGTTGTGTCTGACACTTTGTGATCCTATGGACTGCAGCACACCAGGCCTTCCTGTTCATCACCAACTTCCAGAGCTTGCTCAAACTCATGTCCATTGAGTCAGTGATGCCATCCAACCATCTCATCCTCTGTCGTCCCCTTCTCCTCCTGCCTTCAGTCTTTCCCAGCATCAGGGTCTTTTCTAGTTAGTCAGTTCTTCACATCAGTTGGCGAAAGTATTGGAGTTTCAGCTATAGCATCAGTTCTTCCAGTGAATATTCAGGACTGATTTCCTTTAGGAGTGACTGGTTTCATCTCCTTGTAGTACAAGGACTCTCAGGAGTCTTCTCCAACACTACAGTTGAAAAGCATCAATTCTTCGGTGCTCAGCTTTCTTTATAGTACAACTCTCACATCCATACATGACTACTGGAAAAACCATAGTTTTGACTAGACAGACCTTTGTCAGCAAAGTGATGTCTCTGCTTTTTATATGCTGTCTAGGTTGGTCATAGCTTTTCTTCCAAGAATATTAAAGGCTCCAAAAATTCCTGCACTTAAAAAAAACAAAACAAAACTATTTAGACTTGTTTAAATTAGTTTCTCAAATTTGTTTGACCCCAGAAATCTGTTCCAATGAAACATTCTTAGCATTCATGGGAGTGGTCCCTAAAACTCACTTTGGGAAATACTGATGTATTGTCAGCAAGTTTGAGGGTTCTATCTTGTTGATCAAGCAAAGTAAAACATGAATGGATGTATAATTCAGAACATCTCCTTGGCAGAGCTTTCTCATTGGGTTAGACAGCCAGCAGAATTCAAGGGACTTCTTCTGCCTTCTCCTCCAACACTCACTACGTTAGTGGCAAGAGTAAACTTTCCACAGTGGATGCTGTGATGATCAGGGGATGAGATGCCATACCATTTCAGGCTGCAAGTTTGACTCAGGAGAGGAACCTCTTTTCTATCAAGTCATGGTTAAATGAATTCATGAATCATGGAATTTAAGACTAAGAGATTTTTTCAGAATTAAGCAACAAAAAATGACCTGGGTTACATATTCAGAGGTCTTAGTTTCTGGCAGAAATTCATTACTGCCATCAGGGCACGCTGTATGTGCCCCTCTGCTCTTCCCTCAGGCTAGGTGATAAACGGCTCTGGCTTCCCAGTGTCCGTAGTTGAGTCACCTCACTGCAGCGTTGACCTGTGATCCAACTCTAGTCACATCGCTCCTCCTTGGTGAAGAAGAAAAGTCAGGCTGAGATGAGAAAAAGCACAGAACTGTTAGATTCTGCTACCTTCTCTCTCCTTGACATGTTCTCCCTTCCCCGTCGCCTGATCCTGTGTTTTAAATTGCTGTTCTTTCTGCTTGCGGAGCACCTCACCCTGTGATCTCTGCAGTGTCCGCATGAGTTAACATGTCCTTACATGATCGTAAGGAGTGATAAACATGACGTTTCACATTGCTGCCTTCCTTCAGAGAAAATGCCTGTGCTTTCTGCATTATGCAGAGATGAGTAGGAGCTTTTAGGAACTGTGATTCTTAAAGGGCTGTGAAGCAAGAAAACATAAACCATCTAGAAAACCAGAAAATGCATGTAAGGTGCAGAAGGACTCTGTGTACCAATAACTGGCTTTCAAATTGTCTTGTCATTCTACAAGTGAGTGCTAATCCAGAGACGGACCAGGCTGCCTAGAGCTGTAGGGGAGGGGGACATTAGAGGAGGCCCAGGCCCAAACCCCCTGAGGGGGGTTTCAGCTGGGACCACAGGGCCCGTCTTCTGTAGTACAGAACCCAAACCAGACGTCTGTAATCCCATCTGGAAGCTGTCGTATTTTTCAGATGAAAGTGCCAGACTCTCTAATGTTCTGTAAACATTTAGAGATTCAAAACAAGCAAACAAACATGGATGTAGTCTAGTCACAAAGGCATGAATGGAAAAGGATGTGGCTTTAGCAGTAATTCTCAGTCACAAAGGAATTAAGAAAGAGAGGTCTCCTCCACTGTCTACACACAGTGGAAGTCTTTTTGAACCATCTGGATTTATTCCCCAGTATCAATAAGCTTCATAATTAAGATGCCAGGAATAAGTGTAATTCAGCCACATGTCTTAGGGGGCACTCTGCTAATCTGCATGATGGCCAATTAATTGAGCTGTGTGTTGTCTCATTCAGCATACTGAAGAATTGCTTTTCTGGAGATCATTTACCATCAAACAGGTCATCCTCTTTAATTTGATTGGGGGTTGGGGTAGAAGAAATAGCAAATGATTAGGATCTGCATTTCCCCAAAGATGTGATAAACTCTAATATCTGGACACCTTGTTTACCTCATTTTAATTGTGTGTGTGTGTGTGTGTGTGTGTGTGTGTGTGTGTATGTGTATTAATGTAAGCCCATTCATCTTGCTTTGGATATAGATTTCACTCACAGAGTGAAAAACAGATTGACTAGACCTATGCTATCCAATATGGTAGCCACTAGCCACATGTGGATATTTTCAATAATCTAAGTTAAACATAAGAATGTAAAATTTAAAATTTGGTTCTGTTAGACTTGCACATTTCGAGTCCCAAAAGAAAATGTGACTAGTGGCTGCTATATTGGACAGCATGGATATGGAACATTTCATCACCAAATAAAATGCTATTGGCCAGTGCGGTACAAAATGTTTCTAAAATGTTTCTGATTCTATTTCAAGAACTTATATCACCTCCGTATTTTTTACATGCTTGAGGTTTATCTGCTGATGGTATTTTTTTGTTTGTTTGTTTGCTTTCAGACATTGCCCTGGGACCTATGGACGGTAAGAGGACTAAGAATTCTGTATTTTAATGTATCTGGATGGCTAGACATTGGGAACCTTGTTATATTTTATCTATTATGGAAAGAAGACCCAGATAATTTTGATGACAGTCATCAGCTCCCTGATGATTTCTAAGCATTTATCTGCACCCAGAAGCAGTGGTGAGGAAAAGAGGAAATACCAGACTCCTGGGCGAGCAAGAATTCAGTGTTGCGCCCCTTCATGAATCTTCTTTGATTATCAGTGGCCAGAGGAAATGTTGCAGTGAAGGGCATACATGTTTGTTACTGCTTATAGAACACATGAAAAGTATGGATGAGAAATCATAAATGACAAGTTATTCCACACAGGAAACCATTAAAATTAAAAAATTTTTTTTTTGCCATGAGGCATGTAAGATCCTAGGTCACAGACCAGGGATTGAACCTGAATCCCTTGCAGTGGAAGCGAGGAGTCAACCACTGGACAAACAGGGGAATCCCCAGGGAACACTTTTTCTTCATTATTATTTTCACTGAAGCTTAGTCACAGAGGATTTGAGCTTTAGAGCCAGACATTCCTGGATGTGAGTCTACACTGCAGTTCCTATAACAATATGACTTTCAGTAAGTTCTGAAACTCTTGAAGCTTCAGTTTTTCTCATCTGTAAAATAAGGGTTATGACACCTACCTCAGAGTTGTGTGAGGGTTAAAGGAGATAATATTTGTATTTAGCTCAGTATCTGTCATGTATTGATACAAAATCTATATTACTGCTGATGTTATTTATTCAGCTAATCTGATCTGCAAGGGTGAACATTTCCAAAATTGAGAACTGAAACTAAAGCTGGCAACATCTGTGAAATTAAGAAAATAACTGCACCCGTATGAAGCCCCATTTCTCTTGGAGTTGAGCCCTTTTCTCCCCTGTCTTAGAAAAGCCCTGGGTCATGTGGTCTGAAGAGCTCAACTTGAGTTTCATGTTTTCTTCTCTTTTAGTGAAACAGCAACAGGAAATTTGGGTAGATCTAACTGTTCATGAGCCTGGGATTCTGAAGTCACATTGCTCCTTTCTTCCCTCAAAACAGAAAGATGACTATTCCCTTCCCTTCCTCAGGAGATTGAGGCATCATGGAAGGCTCTCAAGAGAAGAGCTAAAAAATTCCTGCATGAAAACATCTTTTATAGGGAGATGATTTTACTTGGATATTCACCCAAAAGGCTGACATTCAAAACATTGGGATTCTAGTCTCAACCTTGTGCTGATTTTTTTAAAGGATGAAGAAGACAGAGCTAGTTTTTGTTATCCCAGTATTTTATATATTTAGTTGGAGAGCTGGCATGGAGAAAGTGAAAGTACCATCTAGAAGAAGTGTTAACTAATTCAGAAGACAAATATGCTAGGAATGGTAACAATGACAAGATTGTAAGACAACAGCTCCCTGGACATAATTGCTCATATTTCTTGATCGTCTCAGGTGTTACTCCTTTGTATGCAGACAAGTCTTCTAGGTCAGGGGGAGAACAAAAGGAAGGTCCTCCAGGCAGCAGAGTGATTAGTTCATCAGATCATCCTCCATCCAAACACTACCTCAAAGGCAGAACCAAGGGCAGGATGAGTTTGGGAAAGATTTGATTCTGATATTATTTCAGAGCATATGATGCTGTGTAATTTTGTGGCTGCTAATGCTTGATCTTGTTCTGGTGTCCTCAGACTTGCTTCTTTATTTATTTGAAAGTTTGCATTTCAGAGTCTGCTAAAGCAAAAGCCATGTAATAGGCATAAAATGTGTTTGTTGATTTTAGAAAATGACGGGCTAGCTTCATGTTTCAATTATGTAGTTTTCACAATAGTGAAACAAAACTCATTTCTATTGCAAAACAAATTGCAAAACTTAATCTCAAACCAATAAAAGTCAAAGTCATCAATTGCATGTTGATTTTGGTCAACATGAGATTTTAATGTGCTAGGAAATTTTCTTTTCTTGCCTTATGATCATGTGTATGCTTATTTATTATTATTTTTTTACTCATACAGACAAGCACTGATTTGGTACAGCCGGTAGGTAAATATCCAGAAAATTCTGGATTTTTTTCATATTTAATATACATTGTATATACATAGTGTATTATCTTAGAGTGAGCTTTGATTTCTCATGGCATTGCTAGTCACAGATGTGGCCTTACACAATTTAATTTACATACTCTCTAGCTTTATTTAACTGGTGCCTCTCTATTGAAGACTTTTATGTTTCTCATCAAATCTTACCATGATCTATTTCATCTTAATGTTTTTTTTTTTTCCTCTGCTCTTCTGCATACTCTAAAGACTGATTCTTCAAAAAGTCTTTCCCTGTGTAACCTGATCATGGAGGAAACTCCAGACAGTGGGTTGACCGAAGAAATTCAAAGATCTCAGATTGATTTAGGTGCAATTATTTGGGGCCCCGATGCTAGTACAGACAATTTCAGCCAGAAAACTACCCAAGATGGGTCGCAGGAAGACTCTGCATGTCTCTCTGAAGCAGAGCAGGACCTGGGATTGTCCACCGGAATGCTTCCTTCTGCTGACTGGCATATTGTAGCTGGCCAGGGTGAACATGTCCTGGGGCCAGCCCCTCCACTTGGAGATGAACAACTGCCCCCAAACCCCATCCCTGGGGCTGCTTGTGTGGAGATGGAGCATCTTTGTGATTTACCCGACTCAGAGATACCAGCCATGGAAACTAGTGGCCTGGTCAAAGAAAGTCAAGAAGATGTTAAAAAGTCAGAAGAAGAGAAAGGAAACCAGAAGACAGAAGATTCTATCTGGGCAGGTGTGGAGACATGTGAAAAGGTAGAGGCTGGAACTATTGGTGTCAAGGACCTAGAAGGGACAGAGGAATTTGAAGAGAGAACATGTGAAAGTACAGGAAATGGAGTAGTAGATCTTTTTAAGACACTAGGAAAGCAAGACCAGGAGACCTTAAAAATCAATGAAGAGGAAACTAGGAAATATCTAAGTGCTGGGTGTGAAGAAGGCATAAAGACTGATGAAAAGTGTCTTGAGAAAACTGACATATTAGAAAAAGATATGAAAAATGTAGATCAAGCAGATGAGTTTAGTGACAGAGCACAAGGGCTTCATGAAGGGAATCAAGTAGTAGTAAGTAATTGTGAAATTATAGAGGGTTCTGGAGCTAATGGTGCCAGTCACACAGATATTTTGAATCTGCCTCCCCAGGCTGACTCTGTGTCTAATACTGAAGATGCCAGCCCAGAGGGATGGTTCTTAGCTGGAAAAGACAAAGAGAAAAAATTAATAGACCCTCCTAACCATAATATACTGTATCACTCAGTACAGGGTAGTACAGATGCTAAAGAGATTCAGTGTGAGGCTGTGTTACATGCTTTTGGAGCTGACAGGGATGGAAATCAGGCTATTGTTTTATCAGTAACACATGAAGCAGCAACTCAGTCTAGGCCAGATCTTAATTCTACTCTGGGAACTGATGCAAACAGAAGAGACTGGGGTTTGTGTAAGACAGAGGATTCATTAATAGAGGGACCTGAAAGGACAGTGACTAGGAACTGTAGCCAAACCATTAACTTGCCAAGAATTGCAAAAACGGAGGCTTGGGGAACAGATCCAGGTCAAAGCCAACAGCCAAGCTTGGATTCAGCAGGGAATAATGTAGAAATGGTAGAATTCTCTGGTATACCAGATGGCCAAGCAAGTGGATTTGCCACTTGTCTTGATTCTGTTAACCACTGGCCTACCAGAGATACAGAAGGCTTAGATAATTGCAGGGAACGCTTAGATACAGTTGGAGGTGAGAAAGGGCTGGCGGTGGATTTACCTGCAGATGTAGGTGGGGAACAAGTCATTGGTAGCTGCTGGGAACAAAGCCAAGAGGTAGCTAGACCACTGGTTCTGGGAGCCTCCCAGATTGCTAGCACTGAGAATTCTGCTAGTCCCCAAGACAATGACATCAACAACTCAGATTTGTCTGAAGATGAAATTGCTAACCAGAGATATGGATTGTTGTACCAGGAAATAGAGGCTGATAAAGAAGAGGTACTCACCCCAGTATGTAGTATAGATTAGCCAAAGACTTCTGTAGGCTGCTTTTCCTAATGTTTCTCACCTACTTCATCATCCTTCTCTGTCTTCTCCAAGGTCTCCCTCATCTCCTTGACAGATTGTCATGTACCTCTTGAAATCTGGGCAAACCAAACACAAATAGGTTGACAAAAAACAGACCAAAAAGACAACCAAAATGACAACGAAAAAAGCAGAATGATTGGGTTGGGAATTGATGAGAGTCTATCTTACCATCCCATTTATTGTGTTTATTCTTTCTACTTTCAGTTTTATCGTTCAAGCACTAAAATATATTAAAAAACCAGACTAATTTACTGTTCCTAAAGTGGTTACACCCCAATAAAAGCACATGAAACGTTTCTACCAAGGTCCATTGAAATTATAAAATCTCATAATAGCTGTTCATTAAAGGGATGTATTTAGAGAAAAATACTGGATGTGCTTCTAGAGTCTATTGATGGCTAAAAAAAGAACTGTTTAAACCCTCATGGCTCTTGTGTGCAATCATGTTCTCGTTATTAGGAAAGTAGGTTTTGGTTAGCCACATATCAGCAATAATTATAAAACGAATGTTTCCCTTTTTCGTCAGCCTATTTAAAATAATACAGTATGGCCGTTTCCACTTCCTAAGCATTTGAATGCTTAGGAAAACTTCTGTATTATTTTAAAATTTGTGGTGGTCTTCAGTTTCCCACTTGTCTAATAGACATTTACCAATCTTACAGAAGTAACGAAAAAAAATAACGTACTCTGATTTCCATTTCTGTTTAGGCTTCTGGAGGTTCGTTTAATGGATTCACCCAGGTAAGAAATTGATTTACTGGTAAAATTCATCAGTTGAGAACATTGCAAATTTTAAATATATGGAACCTCTGATCATTGGAATAGCATAATGTTTAAGTATGTCAATATAAAATTTGACCCTACTTCTTGTGAACTTAGTAATGGAAATAGTAATAGTAGTAAGGTTGCAGGGTTGTTGTGAAGGTTAAATGAGATGCCAGTGCAGAGACTTAGTCTAGCAGCCTGGCACATACTAAGTGCTCCATGACACTAACTGGCTATTGGTAATAAGGTATACTATGGAATTCTGATGATTCCTCCACTAGAAATTTGAAGTTGTCTTAATCTGAGAGATCTGCTAGGCTCAGCTATTGGAAAAGAAGAGATAGGATTGGTTTGATCTAATGAGATGGCTCTTTAGACAATATAAGTGATTTTTAGGAGCCTCCTTCTAAAGGTTCATTTAAGAGTCATACTACACAGAACCTTATTTTTTCAGTGGTTCTTCTGAAAGGAGCCTTTGGAAGATCACAAACCACTGACCAGGTTGGCTCTGGCCAATAAATCAGCATTTTCCTTGGAAGTTTGTGAAGGAGGGGCCACACGATGGACCGTTCCATTCACTGTATGTGTCCCAACAGATGGATAGTGTAACCCATGTGAAAAGCAGACCACATGGCTATCAAGTCATAGAATAAGTTCTGAAAACTTCTTCAAGGGAAACTTCATGTATCTGCCTATCTGTGATGAGTGTTTTGTCTCAGATCTTAGACACGAACAGTTTTGAATTTCAGCCTTCAGAATTTCTCCATTTAAAAGTTTGACTACTTTGCCACATGTTATCTATAAAAAGAGAAAACCCACTCACACACCTGCTCCTGAATACAGATACACACACACACACACACACACACACACACACAGATGATAATGTATCTTTCCATAGAAGCGAACTCTTTCAAAAGATTGGGTTTTAAGAACAGTTATTCATGTCTCATTTTTAAAGTTTGTATTTTTATCAGTTATAAATGCACATCTTTTAAAGAGTAGCACAATTTAAAAGGATTTTTTTTTTTATTAAAGAAAAGCAAAAACTTTAAATTCAGGCCATCTTATACCCCCTACCTACATTTCCTGCTTCTTAGAGGAAAATATTTTCACACCTTGTAGCAGATTCTCTGGTTTCACCACCACATGTGTTACGACTTTCTTATGATGCTCCTTCTTGATTTCCAAAGCATTAGTCATGGACTCATCTCTTGGAGAAGGCAATGGCAACCCACTCCAGCACTCTTGCCTAGAAAATCCCATGGACGGAGGAGCCTGGTAGGCTGCAGTCCATGGGGTCGCGAAGAGTCAGACATGACTGAGCAACTTCACTTTCACTTTTCACTTTCATGCACTGGAGAAGGAAGTGGCAACCCACTCCAGTGTTCTTGCCTGAAAAATCCCAGGGACGGCAGAGCCTGGTGGGCTGCCATCCATGGGGTCTCACAGAGTCAGACACGACTGAAGCAACTTAGCAGCAGCAGCAGCATCTCTCTGGAAGACTCAAGTGTCTTCAATCTGCTGTCCTCAAGAGTTCACATCTCTCTCTCTGCTTCCTGCCCTTCCAGTGACATGATAGCCAGCCAGCCAGTCAGTGGTGGGGTTATGATGATGCTATAAATGCTCTTATTGGTCAAGTGATGAAGTTTACATTTCCTTTTAGGCTAACATTTTTTTCCTTGGAGGAAGTAATTGTAGGATCTTGTTTGTGAGCTTGTTTATTTGTTTGTGACCTTCCTTATTTGTTTGTTTCACTTTCTGGGTACTTATTACTAACTCAACCACATATTCTGTGGTTATAGAAGTCTCCTCTCTTTCACAAAACATTAAACATTCATTAAGTTTCATCCTGTTGAACATTGAAACTGTTCTTCGGGACTGTTCTAATCAGACCTGGAAATGCTATGGGGTATGACTCGCCACAGTTTTAAACACAGGGTCTCCCATCACATCTTCTGTGGGGGTGGTCTCACCTCTCTTCTGTCCATCCACTCTTTTCAGGATACAAATCACCCTCATTTGGGGTTAAATCCCTTATTTGGATAGAGCACATCCTTCAGTAACTTCCTGAGAAAAGTGTGCACAAGACGCATGTATTTGTGACCTCCTGTATTTGAAAGTATCTCTGTCCTCATGTACCTAATAGACTGTTTGGATATTATAAGTTATAAACTATTTTCCCTTGGAATTTTGAAGTCATTGTTCCACTCAATTCTATCTCCTAGTGTTGCCACTGAAAAANATGAAGTGATGGGACTAGATGCCATGATCTTAGTTTTCTGAATGTTGAGCTTTAAGCCAACTTTTTCACTCTCCTCTTTCACTTTCATCAAGAGTCTTTTTAGGTCCTCTTCACTTTCTGCCATGAGGGTGGTGTCATCTCCATATCTGAAGTTATTGATATTTCTCCTGGCAATCTTGATTCCAACTTTTGTTTCCTCCAGCCCAGCATTTCTCATGAGGTATTCTGCATATAAGTTAAATAAGCAGGGTGACAATATACAGCCTTGATGTACTCCTTTTCCTATTTGGAATGGGTCTGTTGTTCCATCCAGTTCTAAATGTTGCTTCCTGACCTGCATACAGGTTTCTCAAGAGGCAGGTCAGGTGGTCTGGTATTCCCATCTCTTCAAGAATTTGGGTACATCTTTTTTAACATTTAATAAATAATTTTATTGATGTATAATTGATTTTCAATGTTGTGTTAGTTTCAGGTGTGCAGTGAAGTGATTCAGTTATGCAAATATATAATCTTTTCCTTATTCCTTTCCATTGTGGTTTAATCACAGAGTATTGAGTATAGTTCCCTGTGCTATATGTAATAGGACCTTGCTTATTTTGTATATAGTAGCGTGTATCTGTTAATCCCAAACTCCTAATTTATCTGTCCCTGCCTTTCCCCTTTGGTAGCCATGTTTGCTTTATATGTCTCTGAATCTGTTTTTTTTTTTTTGTAAATAAGTTCACTTGTATCATTTTTTTAAGATCCCACATATGAGTGATACCATATAGGATTTGTCTTTGATGAGAAACTGTCATTTTGATTCTTGATGTTTTGTCAGAAACCCTATCTGTCTATTTCTCTGTGTGCTTGTATGCCCCTGCCACCTTTTTCTCTCTGCAAGTCTATGTAATCTTTATACCCATGTTTCTAAAATTTTACAATGATGTACTATGGTCCACATCTCTTTTCATACATTGTACTAGGCCCTTTTAATCTGAAAATTGCTTATTTTTTGGTTTGTTTTCTTGTTCTGCAACACTTCTCTTTTTCGTGTACTGACTTTTTGAGCTAGTCTTCCTATTTTTTTTTCTCTTTTTCATTTTCTCTTTCTCTACTTTCCAGGTTTTCTAACAGATTTTTTAGCTTCTATATATATATTTAAATTCTCATAAGCTTTTTGTTTACTGAATATTTCTTTTTGAATAGCATCTTCTTATGTTATGAATATACCATCTTCCACTGTATCTCCAAGGGTATTAATAATTCCCAAAGGTGTAAAGTCTTTGTTTCTTCCACTTTTTAAAAGCTATTCGGTCTTCCTTGAATATTTGAGACTCCTCAAATGTCTGGTGACCTTGGCTGTCTCTTTAATAGGAGGTCACTGAACAACTGATAGACTTGTCCAAGTAGGTGGGACTCATTGACTCTGGATTTTGTTGTAGGATTTTCTGGCTCATCTTTTCTGTCAAGGAGTTCCTGGTATCAGATTCTTTTGACTTTTTTCCCTTCTCTCTCAAGCTGGTCATGTTTCTCTCTTCTGGTCTCCTATCTGGGTATGTGGGGGCCGGAGAGGGAGTATAGGGTTCAAACCTGGTTGCCAGGTTAATTGGAGTTGAATGGGGGAGTAGTTGGGGGTGGAGGAGCCCTTGTCTCTATTATGTAAATATTCAATTAATTCCTCTACTTTCCTAATGTACTTTCCTGTGTGTCCCCCAGTCCAGAGACTCCAGAGACCCTCTGTTTCAGCCTCTGAAAATAGGGGCAAAGGGTGTTGCTTGGTTTTCAAATATGAGACTATCTCCAGGTCTAAGTAATATTCAGTAGACTTTCAACCAGTAACCCTGGCTTTTGTACCACCCTCACTTTCATTTCTCATGGTACCTCATTTATAATTCTCTTTTAAATTAATTTGTATTAGAGTATAGTTGTTTATAATGCTGTTAGTTTCTGCTGTACAGAAAAGTGAATCAGCTGTATGTATACATATATCCCCTCTTTTTTGGAGGATTTCTTTTCCGTCGGTCACCACTGAACGCTGAGTAGAGTTCCCTGAGCTATACCATAGGTTCTCATTCAGCTCAGCTCAGTTCAGTTCAGTCTCTCAGTTGTGTCTGACTGCGACCCCATGGGCTGTGGCACACCAGGCTTCCCTGTCCATCACCAAGCCCCGGAGTTTGCTCAAACTCCTGTCCATCAAATTGGTGATGCCATCCAACCATCTCATCCTCTGTCATCCTCTTCTCCTCCTGTCTTCAATCTTTCCCAGCATCAGGATCTTTTCCAGTGAGTCAGTTCTTCGCATCAGGTCACCAAAGTATTGGAGTTTCAGCTTCAGCATCAGTCCTTCCAATGGATATTCAGGACTGATTTCCTTTAGGAATGACTGACTTGATCTCCTCGCTGTCCAAGGTACTCTCAAGAGTCTTCTCCAACACCACAGTTCAAAAGCATCAATTCTTCTGTGCTCAGCTTTCTTTATAGTCCATATCTCTTCTCCATACCTGACTACTGGAAAAACCAAAGCTTTGACTAGATGGACCTTTGTTGGCAAAGTAATGTCTCTGCTTTTTAATATGCTGTCTAATTTGGTCATAGCTTTTCTTCCAAGGAGCAAATGTCTTTTAATTTCATGGCTGCAGTCACCCTCTGCAGTGATTTTGGATCCCAAGAAAGTAAAGTTTCTCACTGTTTCCATTGTTTCTGCATCTATTTGCCATGAAGTGATGGGACCAGATGCCATGATCTTAGTTTTTTGACTGTTGAGTTTTAAGCCAGGTTTTTCACTCTCCTCTTTCACTTTCATCAAGAGGCTCTTTAGTTCTTCGCTTTCTGCCATAAGGATGGTGTCACCTGTATATCTGAGGTTATTGATATTTCTGCCGACAGTCTTGATTCCAGCTTTGCTTCAGCCAGCGTGGCATTTCACACCATGTACTCTGCATATAAGTTAAATAAGCAGGGTGACAATATACTCCTTCTATTTTATACATAGTATCAATAGTGTATATATGTAAACTACAATCTCCCAGTTCATCCGAACTCCTCTCTCCCCCGCTTTGGTATCCACACATTTGTTTTCTATGTCTGTCTCTATTTTGGTTATGTAAATAAGATCATCTGTACTATTTTTCTACATTCCACATATATGCGTTAATATACAGTATTTGATTTTCTGACTTACTTCACTCTGTATTACACTGTCTAGGCCCATCTACTTGTTGATCCATTGGGATTTATGAGTAATAAACTGGGTTGTTTTTTGCATTTCTACATCAACTCACAGTGTAGACTTTAGATCCTCCAAGTTACTGTTTGTTCGTTTGCTTTTTAATTTCAAAATTTTGTTGCGGTTGTTTTTCTTTCCATTCTTTTTACCCTCATGGGTTTATGCCTTTAAAAATTAATTTTCATCTTCTTATCTGGTTTGGATTCTGGAGGCAACAGAGGTAAATTCCTGTGTTCAATCCTCCATCTTTGACCAAATGTCACTGGCTCATCTTTTCTTTGGGAGAACCGTTGATACCTGATTATTTAGGGACTTTTTCCCCCTTTGAACTGGTTAAATTAGCCAGGAGAGACTCTTCTGGTTTCTTGTCTGGAGGGTAAAAGCCAGGTTACCTGTATAATGGGGAATGAAGATTCTCCCTGAGATCACTGTTCCCTTAGCTTGTCTCCAACTTGATTTTTTTACAATCCATATCCCAAATGAATATATTGCATACAATTTTTAAATTATGGCTCATAATTAATTTATAGACGTCACACTTTGATGAAGCAATAAGATTAAGAATCCAACATTTAAAAGGCTTAAATTTGTAGCTTAGATCCACTAAATTCTGACTCGGTGTTGATGTCCTGGAGAGAAGCTGCAGACCAATAATGACTTTGAAAACTCTGCCCTTTGTTGAATGCCTCTCATCATATTATTGATTTCTGCTAGCTCAGATTTATATTTAAAATAACTACTGTCAGAAATTATATTTGCATTTTTTGCTTTTGATTTAAACTAAATGAGACAAATGAATCTTTATAATGTATTTGTTGACGCAATTCATAGAAACTGATTTAAATGATATCTTTGCTGTTGCTGTTTTGGCAAATTAACTGAAACCCTGATAATCTGGAATCTTCTACCTTGTCCCCACTTTTCAACTCCAGGATACTTCATTGTTCACAATGCAGGCAGACCAGAGTATGTTCAACATGGTGAGTTGATTTTGGTTTGTGTTTTGGAAAATTTTTCATTACCACCAAATGTTCCAAGGTTGATCATTGTAGGTAATTTAGAGCTTGAATATTCAGAGTGTGGTTTCTGTAGCTCTCTCTTTTCTAGAAAATAGGAAGGAAAGCTCCTGAAAAATCATGTGACTTTGAATGTGGTTGCTTCTATTTGTAAAGGCACAGTGATCCTGGCAAAAATCAAAGTATCTTAATTATGGGCTTCGATGGAACATGAAGTCTAGCCATTCAAGAACATGGATGTTTCTGTGTAACTATAGCTTATGCTACAGGACTGATGATGAAATTGCCTCAAGAATTCATGCTTCAGAATAGATCCTTGATTTTCTTGAACCCTAGCTACTTCATCTCTCATCTCCTCCCTTCTTTTTGTGACCTGTAGAAAGAAGTAATGCATGGTAGAGATGTGATGCCTACTTTGCTGCCAAATGAGATAAAGAGAAAAATTTAGCTTGGGAGTGAGTAGGAAGCAGAAAGGTTACTCTGGGTGTTAGAGGAGATTCTTGCAAGATTGGTTATTATAGGAAACATGTAACAGCAGCTTACTACTAAGGCTGATGAAGAGACGTTGAGTGATGTCACAGAGCTTGTCAGTGCTATACTGTGGAGGATTTAGGCTCCTTGAGGATTAGTTCAGGAAGGTTATTTGTAGTGCACTGTTTTTCCTGTGGGAGTGGCATAGAATTATCCCAGCTCTGGCTTTCACTTTGGAAACTCAGAATTGGATTTAAGTAGAATGAATTTTTCCTTTTAGATGATTTCACTTCTAAGAAACGATTTCTGCTCGGGAAGGTTAATTGCCCATTTTTCAAAGACAAGTGTTTCTCTAACATTCTGTCCATAGATGGGTGTATTTTTGCCTTTTGGGTAACCAGGTAAAAGGTGGAGTCTGTGATGCCTGCAAATGAAGAGTTAAATGTTTAAAATTCATACTATATTGGTGTTAATAATGGAGCCAGAGAGACTTATGTTTCATGATCATTGGTGGTTTTCAGTCTGGGTGATGGTGTAAGGGTTATACTGACACTGGAGGATGAGATTTTTAATTATCAATTGTGAATGAGTTAAAAAATGGAGAAATACTGCTGTAAAAAAAAGGCAATGGGTCATCAGTAAATTCACACCTACTACAATTACAAATTTCTGGCACAGAATCCAGTGGTTTTTAAGTTTCTCTGAACATCTCCTTACCACCCCTACACACACAGCTGGTTCTAGGAGCTTCCGTGTATGCCCTTCTCTTCTCTTTATCTGTGTTTTCTGAAGCATATTTCTTGTACCTTCTTTTCATTGGGGAGCTTAGCTGTGTCATGCCCAGCACTGCAGATGCTGCTAGTGTTGGCTGTGCGCTATGAAGGACTGCGAGATCACAGTGAACCTCACCCACTGAGTTGCATTTGTATAGCATCTTCCCTGAAACAGAACAATATCTGAACATGGGTTCATTGACTGATCTGAGCAAAGCAGAGGCTGAAGTTGATAGTCAGCTGCACATCTCCCTAGTCTTCATCTTGTGGCCCCACGAGATATCCCTTGAGTACAAGTTTAAACCTTGTTGAATCTGCAGACCCTACTCTGTACTCAGGATTGCCTCCATGGCACCTTTGAAGTTCTCATTAGAGTAGCTGTCTTGAGTTTGGAGAAGTCAGTTACCATATTGGAATGTGTCTAGACCCTTAACTCCACTCTCCCAAACCATCTCTTCTTACCCTGCACTGGCCTGCTTTCCAGCTTATCACAGAGGATGCTAGAAAATGTGTGCTCTAGCAGCACTACTTGTTTTGTTCTAAGGCAAGAATTCCATTTCTGAGTCTTCAGAGTTAAACCATTGTGGCATCCTGCTGCCACTAATAAATACAGAGAATACCTGTCCTCTGAATGTATAATGATGGCTACGCCAGCGAACACCAGTGCCCCCAGATGGGTACAGCATGGTATCAGCCCATTGAAAATGTTGCCAGGGGAAGCTTCTTATAGAAAAAAAAAAAGTGCTTGAAACAGGGCACAATTCCTGAAAGTCTACTTTAAGATCTTTCCATGAGATGCTCTTACCTTTACTTTTTCTTCTATCTTGACAAAATATTTTCCATTTTACATTATCCTAGAAGGATTAGACAAGTGACTTAAGTTTCCAAATTTGAGCAGCCTATTTTATGTACAGTCATGCTGTCATGTTTCAGCCTTACTCATCGTTCACTGAATTCTATTTGTCCCCCTAGAATTTAACTTTATAATGCTATATTATAATATTTGGTGTGATATTATTAGAGGAAAATATTGTGACTTGTGGAATATAACCAATTCCTCATCTTTATACTTTGCTTCCATTGAGTTATTGCCTGACTTCAACAAGCAAATGCCATTGGACTTATTCATGAAAACACCCTGCCTGTTCTTGCCGTGTATGAAACTTCAAAATTTCTCAGACTTCCAAGAAACCCAGACTGATGCAAATAGTTTTTCATTTTAGGTTATCTTTGTTTTCGGTTTGGGTTTTTTTTTAAAATCTTAATGTAAACAGATAAATTTATTTGATAGATGTTTTGAAACTTCCTTGGCTCCTCATCCCCCATTGCAGACTCAGCTCACAGTGGGGCAGCCATCTGCCCATGGGTTTCTTTGTCTTTGTCAAATTACCCTTCCTATCCTTGTTGTGTAGGTCATTTGATATCGTCCTCTCATAGCCAGTCACCTTGACTTCCAAAATGATTAAATCATACTGTGAGAGCTTATAGTATTTCTTAGCTGCAATGAAAACTTGTTCTATTATGAAGATAATTCCTTTTGAACAATACAAGTGAAATCTTTTCCCATAAAGAACTCCTGAGAGTAGATTAGAGTGAATTTTATCTCATTCTTTCTTAAAACTTGTGTCAGATCACCCTTTAAAGGTTATAAAAGCCCATAAAAATACCAGATCTCGGTACATTTATCTACCTAAGTATCCTTTTATTTTTATTATGCCCTTTCAAGAAAAGGGTGATGTGACCTTGGCTTGGGTTGCAATGAAGGATTTGGTGGCAGCATAAGAGAAATAGTTTGCATATTTATCCAACAACAGGCTATTCATTATTTTCTATTATCTCAGCATAACTTCGCCATCACTTCCCTGTGGAACCTATCCTGTGCACCCATTTCAGTCTACATATGGGAGAGAGATGGCTTTTGATTTCTTACAGCAAATGTTTGACAAAGATTTCTGATTCCTCCAAAGGAAATATTTATTGGAGACTCCTTACTCTTCTAGGAAAACACTTTTAAACTTTCTTGCGGTTTAAACACCCTGATGGAAAAAGATCTTAACATACCTTCCAGTGGCCATCTGTACGTTAATCTATAAATCAAAAGAGAGGAAATAGTTTGAGTAGCCACAGGAACATGCATTGATTGGCTGTGCTGTTTTTCATAGCTAGTTATTATTTAATCTTGCTAACTTTAAAACTGAAAAAGTCTGGAGCTAAGAGATTCCAGGGGCTTGATTCAGCATGTAATTGGAATGAGAAGGGTGTCTGTGGGTAGAGGTCCTAGTAGGAAGAAAAGACTTCACTCTGGTCTGCACAAGAGTCTGACTGATATCACAGAGAATACTGTTCAGTAGTTCCTTAAAGAAGTAGTTTATCATGTGAAAACGACTGATGACTAAGGCTTTCATTGGAAGGAGAAGTGAAATATAGGGACTGAACAGGAATGTATAAGGGCAAGGTATCTATGATGGTGGTGGCTCCTTGCCGGGTGGCTGAGTCTGTTCCTCCTAGCCATCACTAGTCACTCCATAGTGACCATTCATATGCATTAATGCATTTTGATCTGAATCATTGGGAATATCCCTCAGTTTTTTGGCTGCAGTACCTATCAACAGAGCGGGCAGTTCCCAGAATTGTGTTCTCCTTGAGTTCTTCCTTACTCCTTCTAATTTCCAAAGGAGGGAGCTCTTAGGATCTCTTCTGTCTCTGCTCCATAGTGCAGAGTACCGTATCAATATCCCAAGAAGCGAATACTCAGAATATTGAAAGCAAGTACAATGGATCACCAAAATGGTAAGTCTTTGCCCAACTTCAGAGGATGTCACAGTGACAGTATTGTGAAACCTAATACGCTTATTCCTAGACTTTTTCAGTTCTGTAAAGAACCATCATGCCTAATCTGGATTTTTTCTTTTCCAGCACACATTTAATGAAGCTCATTACCTATAGGGTGATGAAGAAAATCGTTAATTGTCCAGTGTTCCATAACGTTATCTGTTTACATGTTGAATCTTTTCCCTCTAACCCTCGAAACAAACCATCAAAGGCTGAATCTGAACAGGCTCCACCCACAGAGCCGAAAACTGAGGAGCCCCCTGCTGCTGTTCCACCTGCCGCTGGGCTGGACCTTGGACTGGACACCCGGGCTGAGGAGCCAGAGGAGGGGGCAGCGGTGAGCGCCACTCCCTCCCACCCTCCGCTCACCTCCCCACCACCGCTGTGCTCGTCTCATCCCATTTCTCCCTTATCATTCCTGTTTCTCTTGGGCCACATCACTTCCATACCTGTCACGGCTTCCCAAGTTCAAATGGCCTTTATTCCTTTGACAGTGAAAGTTCATTCTCATTTTTTTTTTTTTTAAAGAAAGATATCCAGAGACCTGATCTAAGGCTGTCATGTTGCCATAGGCTTGGTTCTCAATAAAGGGTACCTTGAACCTTTCTGCTACTTCCCATCCATGGTAAATAGGTGGTAATAACTCACAAATAACCTGACCTAGTGCTTGCCCCACCTGCGGTGGCTGATGGCGGACCTTCCATTAGGGACCAACCTGCAGNGTCAATGTTACTCTCTCAATTCAGAGGATATATTTCTGTTGTCTTCAACCACTAAGTTTGTGGCCATTTTTTATGGAGCACTAAAAAACTAATATAGCAAAATCACGCCTTTTTTCTCAGTTTATGCAGTCCATTGTTTTCACCTATAAAATGGTAATACCCACTGCCTGAGACAATGAAGTGAGATAATGTGTACACATAAGAGAGAGATGTCTTACTAATGTGACATTTCTTTTTTCCTGTTCAAAAGCGTTAGTTGCTCAGTCTTGTCTGACTCTTTGTGACCCCATGGACTGTAGCCCCGCCACGCTCCTCTGTCCATGGGATTTTTCTAGGCAAGAGTACTGGAGTGGGTTGCCATTTCCTTCTCCAGAGGATCTTCCTGACCCAAGGATCAAACTCAGATCTCCTGCATTGTAGGCAGATGCTTTACCATCTGAATCACCAGGGAAGCCTGAATTGTATGAGTCTATATTCAAACCTGGGCTTCCCGGGTGACTCAGTGGTAAAGAATCAGCCTGCTAGTGCAGGAGACTCAAGAGACATGGGTTCAGTCCCTGGGTCAGGAAGATCCCCTGGAGTAGGAGATGGCAACCCATTCCAGTATTCTTGCTTGGAAAATCTCATGGACAGAGGAGCCTGGCAGGCTACAGTCCGTGGGGCTGCAAAGAGCCAAACACGACTGAGGAACTGAGTGGTGGTGATTTAGTTGCTAAGTCGTGTCCAACTCTTGTGACCCCATGGACTCTTGTGACCTCATGGGTTTTTGTTTTCTCAAATTCTAAGTTTATTGGTTGTCCAGTGAACTATCTGAGTAGGTATCAATTATCAAGTACCTACTTGATAGGTACATGATAAATTTTCAGTTATCAAGTACCTACTTGATAGTACTTGATAAATGTAGTATGTACAATACTTTGAAATCTTCGAAGTCAAGGGTAGTGTTAAAAATACTTAACAAGCTGCATGGTACAAGCATCAGCCATTACTAAACTTGGTTTCCCTCATGTTGGGTGAGGAGATACTTAAAAAAATTCATTCTGAAAATACTTGTCTCCTAAACCTCATTTGAACTTTAAAGAATAGAAATTTTCCTTGAGAAATAGAAAGACTTCAAGCAGTTGTTTTCTCCACCCTTAAATGAACTAAAACATAATAGCAAGAGAGGGCAGCTCATAGCAGTTCAGTTTGCCTAATGCCCATCAAAAGTGGATCCTTTTCAGGTGTTTAGAATGAACATACTTGGATGAAGTCAGTTCTTCCCCAAGTTCTCCCTTCTACTTAAGCAAATAACGTCAGACAGAATGTATTTTTGTTGGTGATGGACAGGGAGGCCTGGCCTGCTGCGATTCATGGGGTCGCAAAGAGTCGGACACAACTGAGTGACTGAACTGAACTGAACACAGGTTTATAGCTTCTTTCTCTTGGTCATAATCAAGATAATATTAGGGTTATTTTTTCTAAAGAAAGGTCTCTTCATTTGCTAGATGTGTGATATTTAGTTGTAAAGACATGAAAATCCACAGTGTCCCAAGCTCTCATTAAGCAGACTGGCTGTGGCTGTCATCAATCAGGATGGGGTTGACGTGACCTTTTGAGGTCATCATTTTTGCTACCAAAATGTCACCAGATGGTTATTATTTCTAGTCTTGACAGTGCATTTCATATGAGGTGAAATTTGTGGTGGTTTTATTGAAAAAGAAGCAAATGTAATTTTGAAAACAGGAAATTTGAGCAGTGGATCACAAAGAAACCCTGGGCTCTCCAGAGAGGTTTATTATTTTTGTTTGTTGTTTTATTCCCTGAATAGCTAATATTGCCTTTAGTTTTTCCCTACAGCACCAAAAGCACCAAATTTTACTGCTGTCTCTGCAGGATGCATTTTAAAAACCAACACTTGCTACCTCTTCTCTAGATGTTTTCATGTTGTATAAGTACTGAAAATTTTCTTTAGGAGAGAAAATCAATATTTGTTTAGATATATATTAGAGAAATAGGTTAAAAAGTAAATGATGATGATTTTTGCCCATATTTATTTTCCTATATTTATTTATTTGCCTATATTTATTTCATTTTCTTGCAGAGAATCCCTTCTTTCTCTAAATTTCTGTCTGATCCTATGGTTTGCTCAAATGATGTGAAGTGGACCAATGTCTTTTTTCCCTATTAGTTTCAAAGAAATAATGCAGTGTAATTGAGTTTAGGGTTTAGCATTGTTTCCAAAACAAATAAATGAGAAACAATATCAAGATAGATATTTTTAAAATATTTAGAATAATTTTAGAATCCTGGAAGGTGAAGCACTGACTACTTTTGATTTTGTTGTGTTTTGTTTCTTTAAATATTTTGTCAAACTTAAGTTGATTTGTCAAGGCCAATTTAAACCAACAAATATAGATGGATAGATAGATAGATATAGATAGATATACCATGAACTTCATTTTGCCAGGGAATAGTTCTGTCTGTGTGTGTAGAAAATATATGCTGGTTTCCCCCCTTCATTCAGCTGGTAGACATATTTGAGCCTCTCTAGATGTGAGGCTCTCTTCTGGTTCTGGGGGATACGGTTTTGCAGGCAGTAGCTGTGGCTCCAGCCATCCTAGTTCACGTGGACTGGTGAGGGAGGAGGCTGACATTGCACAGCGCTCGAGGCATCCTTCTGTGATGAGCATGTGGGTGGGAAACAGCACTGAGTTTTCTCCTTGTGCTGCGTGAACTTGGGAGCTCAGACTTCCACTGTGTCTCTACCTGTGAGCTTGGGTCTGTCAGGAAGACACTGAGGACCAGAGGAAGCCAGATGAGGCTGATTTCTTGTCTGCTTCTCATCATCATAGAATTATGTTCAGATGCAGAGTACTCACTCTGAAGTATGCCATACATAGGTAATTATATATATTTCCCTGGTGGCTCAGATGGTAAAGAAACTGCCTGTACTGCAGGAGATCCGGGTTCTGTCCCTGAGTTGGGAAGATCTCCTGGAGAAGGGCATGGCAACCCACTCCACTATTCTTGGCTGGGGAACCCCATGGACAGAGGAGCCTGGTGGGCTACGGTCCATGGGATCGCGAATAGTCAGACCCGACTGAGCAACTAACACACACACACACACACACACACACACACACAAACTAATTTGTGTGTGTGTGTGTTATGCATGCCTTGGAGATGGATTTACCTCTTTACTTTTCTTAGAAAAACAAAATCACAGGAATGGTTATTTTCTCTGAGTTTGACTGCACTCCTATTAGCAGCTAACTACATTCTCAGTACCCCTCAGGCCAAACAAATAGCTGTTTCTTTTGTGTTCCAGGCACCCAGCAGAGATCTGGGTGTATAATGTATACCCAGTAAATTCTGAGTCATTGATTTGTTGATTGATTGACACTATAATCTGCTTACCTGAATGAGACTACAGCCAAAGCTATTAAAATACAGATATTACAGGGTCATTTTCTTTCTTTTTCCATTCAGATAATTGAATTTTTGTATCTAGGAAAAGGAAGCTGTTTATTGTGATCAAAAGCAGGGCCACCTATCTTGTTATGCTGCCCAGGAGCCCTGTGACATCTGAGCCTCAGTTGCCACAAATGGAAAATGGGGTTAGTGTTAATTGCCTTCACAGTTTCCTACAAGGGCTTGGAAATAATCTATGTTCCTAGTTTAACATCTGGAACATAGAGGTTCCTCAAACAATGAGAGCTGGATAATATTATTGTCATCATCTTCATGATAAATGGTTCCCCCTAAGATAAGCATAAGTCAGTGATACCTTTACTCTGAGAAGGGGAAGGCCAGAGATGCGGAGGTTACACCCCCCTTTTCAGTTTGCTGCACGATGATATTAAGGGACTTGATCTTGTATAGGTCCCCATCCAGGCCAAGTTCCTCCTGGATCCTGAAGAAGCTGCATCCCATCAAAATTCTTTGCCCTTTCTAAGAACACTTTGTCTCTTCTAGGGACCTTCCTATTGGGTCCACTGATAGGAAGTGTTCCAAACTTCACTGCCAGGAAGGTATGGCCATTCGGAGGCATACAGCCTCCTTCAGGATCAGTGGAGAGAACACAAAGGCAGGTGAGTTCCAGAGATTGACACAAAGTTGATTCCAGTGGTCAGGCCAAGAACTTTCTCTCTCTACCATTGTACCAGGTCATAGGGAAGAGACAAAGTTAGCCAGGACTAACATGAAGGTAACAAGATGATAGACAGCTCCCCATGCCTCACACCTCACAGAGCAGATTGACTTGGGGTTGTCAGTTTCCATCTCTGAAAATGGGGTGCCGGTTGTTTTCATATGTGGCTGATATTAAGTATTCATTAGCCACCTACCAGCTGGCATACACAGACTGTCTTCCCTGCTTCCTGGGGTCTCATGTTCCAAAGCCCTTTTTTGCAAGACCCATGTGAGGATTGTGTGATGTTGTTATTTTGTTCAGAGTGTTATGATTACACGTGAACATCGACATGAGGTTTCAGATTATTCTTCCATCTTTGAGGAGCCCTTTGTCCACAGTTGGTGCCTAGTGATTTTTTTACTTTTGGCATGTGCTCATTTTTTTCTGTTGAGGTACAGTTCACGTAACATAAAATTAATCAATTTAAAGTGAACCTAACGT